TGATAGTCAGAATTAGATAATGTGTCTTCAGAGTGAGATACTGGTACTGGTACTGATAGAGGACGTTTGCACGTCAGCAACTAGTCCCTAATGGGACCTTTTTGCAAGCCCAAAGGTGTTTTTCGATGACTGATGTGGTTCGCTTGAGAGAGCTGGCTTACATGCTTTTCAGGTACCGCCCATCAGCTCTCTTTCAGAGTTTTTCAGCTGTGTTTTGTATGCTAGTAATGTACTCACTATCATATGGTGCAGTGGCAGGCCTGCTAGCTATTCTCGTTAACCACCGTTAGAGACCGAGGTCCAGTAAGCAGCTGGCCCGCTCTCACGCTCAGCTGGTAGTTTACCACAACCACCTACATACACCGTCCTACTTCTTCTCTGATGCTCACAACCACATCACCATCTCTTTCTGCGTGTTCTGTGTAGGCTTAGTTACTAACTCCATGCGCCACTTTAGGAGCAGCACTGTTAATTGAAACGCAACAGCGAATCGTGCAGGACTATCCCCAGCCGATACTGCTAAACTTCACAATATCTAATTCGTAAATAAAATATTGGAAAAAGTTCCTTGCTCGTGCTGGGAATCAAACCCGAACGAATGAAATCAATAGAAATTCAAATATTTTTCTAAGAAATAGAAAGAAGAAGAGAAACTAAACAATACCAATAATTAAAAGAGATAAAACAGAAACCATTTCTGACAAGTTCATATTTTTGTATTCATGATCAAACCTCTCTCATTCTCTATTCACTTTTCATATCTCTTCCGCAAGTTATTTTCAACTCTCCTCAGTTCTTCTGGTGGAATCTATCTGCAAACTGTTATTATTCTTCGTCGCATATTTCTTGGCCTGAATGTGCCCAGAGGATCTATTCCTTACTATCATCATGTCTGGTATTATTCGAATGCCTAGAAGAATTATAAAACATGGTCACTTGTGAAATGCAATTATCCAAGAATTAAGTAGATAAAAAAACACCCATTATGAGATACTATTTTGAAAATTATCATAGAAGTAATTCTGGCTAGTATGGATTGATTGACATCATTCGAATTTTCACAAAAATGCTTTATCCGTTTTAGTGATCGTTAAGAAATTATGATTGATATTTTATTTGCTCTACAAATTAGGAAATTTTGAGTAGTATATTATGAGTGAAACAAAATCTTGAATTGTCCTAGGGATACGAGATTCAGGGGTGGGGTGGACCAAATTGAAACACACTATATCTCAAGTGAGAGTGTAAATACTTCTCTGAAAAGTCGGCATCAATCTCCCTGTATCACGTGTAACTGTTCTCAAACATTCTAATCATTCTGACATGTACCAGCATATTTCCGAACATCATCAAATCACAATGTTGCTAAATTCACCAACTGATGAATCTTCATCAAATGATGGACTGTTCTACGAATCAAGTATGCAAAGTATTCAAATTCACCAATCCACCCAAAGTACGTGACCTTGATGAAAATCATGGTGATTTTATCGTGGCGTTGGAGAATTTTCGATCGTTCGATGAAAACAATTAGAGAGGGAGAGGGATTGTTCTGGAAACAATTTAAAGAAATGAAGATGGAAGAATATTTCAGAAACCAATACAATGACATTATAAGAAGAAACAGCTCGCACAGCAGCAATAACTCAGTCAGTCAATCTTTTAGTGAAACAGCTCCTCGTGGTGGATGGTCTCCCATGAGAAATGGAAGATTTGGGGTACTACACTCAGACCTACGCGGACGACATAGTCATTCTGGTTAATACAGAGGGCATTCAACTGAGTGGATGGATGGTGCCGTTCGGTCGATCTGAGTGTGAACCCTACAAAGGCGGAACTATAGTCCTCTTCACTAGGAAACGCAAGGCAGGGAACCTCTCGAACGTCCATTTTTCCGGCAGGTCCCTGCAATACAAAGGTTCAGTCGAGTACCTTATGGTCGTCATCTTAGACTCCAAGCTGGACTGGAACGAACAAATCGAACATAAAGTTCTGTGAAGCACGGCCACATTCTGGGCATGCGTAAGAGCATTTGGAAGAACGAGGGGGCGCAGTACCAAAATTTTTACTGAAATCACACGACTCTTATACGTCCAATATTCACATACGCCACCAACCAATGGTGGAGCGAGGAAAGGACATGGAAAGCTTTCTCCTCGAGATGCCAGGGAACAGTTCCACTCCTGTTATTATATTCAGCAAAAATCTCCAGTCAATCATCATAAAAACAGGGGACTAAGAGCAGTTCGATCACTGAAATCATCTTGTACACAGATGGCTCCGAGATAGGTAGATCAGCACGAGCTGCCGGTATATGGGCAATCTCCAAAAGCGAAACTCAGTTACGCCCTGGGGGATTTTGCCAAAGTTGCCAGAGATTTTTGTCATACTTGCCTGTGTTAGAGATAAATATTGACAGAGGTTACCATGACAAGAAAATCACGATATGCTTCGATAGCCTGGCGGCGATCAAGGGCCTCTCATTATACAGAATCAGTTCGCTGTTGGTGTCGGAGTACATTGATGAGCTTCAAAGGTTATCCACAGCCAACAAGGTGAAGCATCTTCGGGTCCCAGGTCATATCGGATTACCTGGAAATGGAAGGGTCGCCTACCAGGCTAGACAAGCGAATAGCCCAGAAATTGGCGTTCCTGGATCCTCAAGCGTCTCAACCATGATGAATATCCAAAGAACAAAATTTCAGGATGCATGGAAAAAGAGACCAGGCAACATTAAGTAGAAAAGGAATCAGATTAGTTGTAAGGCTCCCCACGAGGCACTGCCATCTGAACAGGCACCTTGAAATTATGGGTATCACTAATTATGCTGAATGTATATAGATGGTGCCTGGAGGTTGAGTCAGCTACTCACATCCTCACAGGATGCCTAGCAGTAGCAGTGTTTCCCGTATTGAAGCGCATCTCAGGAACATCGTTTTGAAACCAGATAGTGTGAGACGGGTATCGTTTAGGAGGCCGGCCTCTCTCGCTCGCGAAATTGGTATGACTGAAACAATTCTTAGCAGAGGTGGGCACGTTACGTGCTCGAAATAGGAGGCCTACATGCTGATGGATCTGTCCCCCCATGATGTCAAAATGTCAATGTCAATGAGACAGTTGTTCACTGCGCGTTCTCAAACACTCGAAATGAATAAAAAATGATGAGTTTGTGTTTCTGCAGTGAAATAAATCACTTTTATCTGCTCCTATTGAATTATATAATAATTTTTGAACTGCTTTTGAGCAATTGAAAGTGTCTGAAAGAAACAACATGGGTCATTATAACGCACCACTATTACTCACTATAATAAATTGGCAAAGATTCTAAGAATTACTTACGAAACGAATTTCCTCGAAGTGGCTCTGCAACATACAAGCCGATACCAAATCGCCAGATAATTCATTGTGACAGACTCCGCTTCTCTATTCATGGTTACATCCAGACTTTGAGTTGCTATCCATGGTTACTTTGTTTAAAACATGAACGCTGTCAGACCAATCAGAATTGAAAGACAGCTCATGTTTTCGCGACTATTTCACTCATCACATAATCTGACCAATCACAAGCCAGAAACAACGTGTGCTTATCGCGAAACATTAGCTGTCTTTCAATTCTAATTGGTCTATCAGCGTTGATGTTTTCAACGATGTAACCATGGATAGCGGAGCAAAGTCCCTCAGTTTGGCATAAAATAATTATGGCTGTACTTGTCAGAATAAATCACTCATTTATAATTAATACTTTTTATGCTTTGTGAACGTGAAATAGTCTAGCACAATACTACTCTGTTCTGAATATCTTATTATAATTCTGTCTTTGATTGTTAACTCAATCGTGTTGCCGTACAGCAGTACCACTCGTCCTGACGGACTCGGCAACACAATTTCGTGAACAATGAAGCGACAGAAATCATCTCGAGTTAATAACGCCACTTGTTTCGCCAATATAGTACCTACCTACCTTCTCCAACTGAAATTCATATTGTACGAGTACTTCTCAAGATGAAGGTACTGTGCTTACTGAAACATATCGTGTTATCACAAATTGTGTGAATATCTCATCGTTTGTGAAGTATTTCACATAATGATATATCGTTGAAAACATCCAATGTTTTGTTTTTGGCGATGTTCTGTGAATATAATTTTCTTGCTCTTGTTGGGTTTTTTCAAACTAATATTTTGGTTGAACATGAATCGGTTTGTACTGTGAATTGGCTCTCAACCTGGTGAAATGCTGATGTTATATTTCAAAGCATTCGACTTTCAACCTTTCATTCAAGGAACAACTTTTCAAGACACTGAAGACACTGAAAAATCACCAAAAGTTGCTTTGATGCGATAATATAGGTAAACTTCACAACCACTCATGCCTTTAACATTCATAATGTGGAATATACCGTTTTCAAACTCTAGATAGTCGATATAATATATGTACTTACTCAAACACGTATGCTTTTTGAACAGTTACTCGACCAAAATCATGGATATGATGATATTCTTCTTGTGTAAATATCTTCGCAGTTCCTACTGGACACTGAATTGAAATTCAATCTTTTTTGTAGGGTTTGATCATGGATAATATTGGATTTTCATCGTCATCAGAAATGTACGACGCAATTGGAATTCCGAAGAGAATATTGACCATAACAGGTCATTGGCCATCACATTCTCCAACTACCTTTCATATCATCAAAGGCTATATTTCCTACTGTATCACCATTCTCTTCAATTTGAGTATGGCAATGGAGTGCTCGAAACATGTGGATAACTACCAAATTCTATCGGAGATCATATCAATTCTTATCCCACCTTTATCATTTTCTCTAAAGCTCACAGTGTTCAAAATGAAATCTAAGAGCCTTTTGAAGTTGCTCAAATATCTGGATGTGAAAGAATTCAACTCTCACCCAGAAGAAATGGACATTGTGATACATAAATCAGTTAACTTTGCAAGGTCTTTGGGAATAATATATCAGTTTCTCTGTTTAATAACAGTCACAATGTATAGTATCATGCCGATAGTGATCAAAACTGACCTGCCAATTATGTTCAGTTATGATTTGGGACAGTTTTGGATGGCCATGTACATCTTTCAAGTCATAGGTAAGTGCATTTTGAGGAAACCATGATTTTAAATGATTCTGCTACCTGGAAGTTTGCTGTTTGACAAAAAGTTGCGCGTTAACCTTACATACAGAATGACCCATTTGAAAGTGTTCTGTAGGCCACCCCCTATATCAATTATGGACCGACGTTGATGATTTTTTTCAAATTTGAAGGAAGAAAAGGCGCCTTCTGGAGCTGAGCAGCTTTAAGTTTTTTAGAAACCAAGAAAATCGCTAATATGGATTCTGGATATTTCAGCATCTGAATGTGATCTAGTAGGCCTTAGTTTTCAAAAACAGTGAACACTGCTTAGCACTAAAATACACCTTTTTTCTTCCACATTTGAAAACAAAAATAGTCAAAATGACTACATAAATGGAAAATTCATGAGGGTGTCCTGCTTCCAAATGGGTCACTCTGGATATGTATAGTGTGTGCGATTTCAACTAGCAATACTCTCCTAATTAGAAATCCATTCCCGATTTCCCAAAACAATTTCATAAAAGTATTCAACGAGCTCTGTTCGAAATCTGGAAATATCTGAGATATTCAGATTATCAAGGTCAACTAGTATTTGTTGAAGGGGTCAACATTTTAACTACTATGCATTTTTTATCAGAAAACTGGATAGCCTGATTGATTCAGCCATAGCTGGAATACCCGGCCATACGAAACTTCAAGGCCATATTTCAAATAGGATTTTAGTTATTCAATGTCATATTCCAATATTTCTGCTTTTTCAATTCACTCTGTATCCATTGGAGAAGCGTCTCGAATACTCTGATACGAAGTTTTGTCATAAGTTCTACAGGAAGATATTTCTCTAGTTAACCAAAAATTGATGGAATTGAAGTTAAAGAACTTCATGAACCTTTTTTTTCTGAAAATTTCGAGCAAAATATAGATGATATAAACTGAGTCGAGGAAATAATCTCCATACTATAACAATTATCATTCAGTAATCTCAAATTTGCATTTAATTCCACCAAAATCGTTATATTACTATGATTACATCAAGCATCAGTATATCACCATGTAGTCATCGGATAGTGTTTGTCTGATGTCGATATATTTGTGTGATATATGAGAGTGTAATGATGTGTTTTTGAACCAGCTTCATTAATAGACCGGTTTTGATTAATATTCAAGTATCTGAGACTGATAACACAAAAAACCTGAGAGAGCTGAGTAATTCATTGATTCCAGACTTTCCAAAGCTATTCCTGATAGTAAACTCCGATAAACATCATAACAACCCTGAATATTTTGCAACCCTTTGCTTATCATATGAAATTTGGATAACTTATTTATCTCTCGAGATGATGGATGTTTACCAGGTCATCACTTTTTTGTTATCGGATATTTTAGAGTCAAATTCAATCAGTACCATTGGCAAAAGTAGAAGATTCTGTTCCAGTGCCCATTTAGGGTTGAATATAATTTTGTCCACATTTTTTTGAGTTTGAGAACATGTGCTTTTGGATACTAGTTCTCGCAGGCATAGTTGGGGATGCACTCTGATCGTTATGAAGATAGGGACAACTGGTTTCATTTTTACAACGTGCAGTATGGTAGAAATAGCATGGCACTGTCTTCTCTCTTGGAGTTCCTTTGGAGTTCCAGCAGCATACCAGAATTTCAACTCCGGTGAATCTGAATAAAACCTCTAGCATGTTCCTTACAACTCTCTAATTCAAGCCATCCAGTCCACAACCCAGCTTTGGAACAGCTATCTTCTGTATGTCCTTCTCGAGTATGGTGCTTCGCAAGTCGACTAGCGTCTCCCAGAGGTCCTTGTAAGTAGGTTTCTCAGAAGATCTTCCTTTCGTTATGAGATAAAACAGAGACCTTTTTCCTTCAGCGCTGATATCTTCTATTTCTAGTGCTCGACCGACGGAGGGACCTTGTTGATGAAGCTCCTTTAACTTCCCGAACTTCCTCATGAACTTGTTCGCTATTCCTTGAGACATCTGAAGATCCTCGGCGACGCAAAGAGCTAGTGCGTATTCTACAGGAATAGCAAAAAGGTCGCGGTGCTCTTCCTTGGTGACGCCAAACCTTGCTTTTGATGAACCACTGTATGTCCCAATGAATTCGTCGAATGTAAGCTCCTTTTCTTTCGGACAAATTTGTTGAACTTGTTGATCTTGTGTTCCCTCGAATGGTGCTAGTCTGTTGAAATGAACGACTCTTGGTTTGCCACTTGGTTCTTTACTGATGCGGTAGATGACATCGTTGATCTTCTTCTTGACAGTATAAGGTCCTTCCCAAGATCTTTGTAGTTTTGGATAAATACCTCGTTTCCTTTGTGGATTGTACAACCACACCAGGTCTCCTTCTGCGTATCCTGCACCCCCAGCTCTGATGTCGTATAGGTCTTTATTCATGAGATCGCTGGCGATTTTCAGATTAAAACGAACCAATTCGTGAATATCGTTCATCTTTTTCATCAGATTAGTGACGTAATCTCTCCCTACTATGTCCTCACCAGGTCTACATCCGAAGACCAAGTCACACGGAAGCCTCATCTCTCGTCCGAATAGAACCTTCGCCGGAGTCTGTCCTGTGGATTCCTGTACTGCAGTTGTTCTTGTCTTCTTGATTCCTAACTTCTCGCTCATCTTCTTAAAGACTTCACTCTCGAAGTTACGGCCCTGATCAGAGTGAAGTTCCATTGGCACCCCAAACCGATTGATGAGTTGATTCATTAGGACATCGGCGACAGTTATGGCCTCCTGATTGGGAATCGCATACGCTTCTACCCACTTGGTGAAGTAGTCCATACAGACAAGGATGTATTTATTTACATTATCAGTCACTGGCAACGGTCCCGCAATATCCATGGCAATCCTCTCAAAAGGGCTTCCAACATTGTACTGTCTCATGGGTGCCCTTGGATTACGATGAGGCCCATTGCTGGCAAAGCACACGGTGCATTTACGGCACCACTTCCTGACGTCGTCACTGCAGTTCACCCAGTAGAACCGCTCTCGTACCCGCTGCAGTGTCTTCCTGGCTCCTAGATGTCCCCCTGGAGTTCCATCATGTACATATCCGAGTACTTCCGACACTCGGCTCCTAGGAATTACCAACTGCATCCGATTATCCGACCCATCATCGCTCTCGAGATTCCTCTTGAGCAGGTCATCTTCTAATACCAAGGAGTCCCACTGACTCCAGTACGCCTCCAAAGTCTGTGAAGATGGTGCTTCTTCTTGCCAAGAAGGACGGCGATTCGCTTTCTTCCATTCTCGAAGCTTCCGAAGTTCTGGGTCCTTTTCTTGCTCTTGCTTGATTGCTGCAGGTAACCAATCTTCATTGACAACGGTGGTTCTGTAGAGGGCTGCTTCCTTATCCTCCAAACGACTACAATGTGAGCACTCAGGTGGACATGACCTTCTGGACAATGCATCTGCATTCTTATGGCTCGAACCCACTCGGTGTGCTATCTCGAAGACATATTCCTGAAGCCTCTCGATCCAACGAGCTACTTGGCCCTCGGGGTTCTTAAAATTCAGGAGCCACTTCAATGCAGCGTGGTCCGTCCTGAGTAGGAATTTACGTCCATAGAGGTACTTATAGAAGTGCTCCACCGATTTCACCATGGCCAATAGTTCCCTCCTGGTAACGCAGTAGTTTCGTTCTACCTTCGATAGCACCTTGCTGAAGTAACCGATGACTCGCTCTTGTCCATCTTGATACTGCGAAAGGACCACACCAATGCCGATATTACTGGCATCTGTGTCAAGAATGAATTGTCCTTGTGGAAGTGGATACCCAAGAATCGGTGTCGTGGTCAAGCGTTCTTTCAGAGCTTCAAAGGTGGCCTGGCAATCTGGATCCCAGTAAAAGGGATGTGCTTCCTCGGTGAGACGAGTCAGGGGCTTTGCGATATCCGAAAACATTCGAACGTAACGTCGATAATATGTGCAGAGTCCAAGGAAGCTCCTGAGTTGATGCTTATCTTTTGGTACTGGCCATTGCTTCACTGCTTGTACCTTCTCAGGGTCGACTTCTACACCCTGCCTTCCTACGACGTGTCCCAAGTAGTTAACCCGTTTCTGCAGTAGATGACATTTCTTCAGATTGAGTGTAAGGTTTGCAGCCTGAAGTCTTTTGAAAACTTCCTCTAGGTTAGCCAGATGTTCTTCAAAAGTTTTACCGATCACGATGATGTCATCCAAATAAACCAGGCATGTCTTCCAGGTGACTCCCCTCAGCACATTCTCTATGATTCGTTCGAAAGTGGCCAGAGCATTGCAGAGTCCGAAAGGCATTACCTTGAATTGCCATAATCTAGTGCCGATGGTGAAAACTGTCTTTTCCTTATCTGCCGGATCTATTTCCACCTGCCAATAACCACTCTTCAATTCCAGAGTGGAGAAAAGATTCGATTCCGCCAACGTGTCGAGTGTGTCGTCAATTCGAGGCAAAGGATAACTGTCCTTCTTCGTCACGTTGTTCAATCGGCCATAGTCCACGCAGAAACGAGTGTTTCCATCTTTCTTCTTCACTGGTACCACTGGTGAAGCCCAAGGACTATTGAATGGCTCGATTACCCCGTCTTGTTCCATATCCTGGATGATTTTTTCTGCAATTTCTCTCTTGGCCTGTGGTAATCTCCGGGCTGGTTGACGAATCGGTCTGGTATCTCCCGTATCGATTTTGTGACTGACGATGTTGGTTGGTTCTACCTGTTTTTCCATTGGCAGGTATGAATATGGATTTATACCTCTGCAGTAACTCGGTTAACTTCTTCTTCTGTCGGTTGGTGAGTGAGTCGCTTGCAGCAGAGACGAGTTCTTCATACTTGCCGGCCCCATCAGTGGTTGCTGTCACCTGGTGGATTATGGAGGCTGCCGGGACACAGGTTCCAATCTTCGTTCCTTTGCCAATCGTCACAGGGTAATTATTTATGTTGATAAATCGAACAGGTACATTGTCGTCTGCTGACAGTAAAGCCTTGCCGACTAAGATTCCACGTCCGACTTCCTCGT